AATTTTAGAGTAGCTGACTTGTACACTTCTTTACAGTCTCAACATCAGTACCATTAGGTTTATAGTTGTAACGTAATACATGATAATCATGAAAAATTTTCATCTTTGTATGCGTTAAACTCGCACAAAGATTTTCTAAAAGTTCTCCAATTCTGTTTTCTTCTTATCTTCCCAAAGGTTTCCTAGATAACCTTAGAGTTTATTAGCTGCTTTGTTGTTGTTGTTTTTTAACAAAGTACGTTAATTTGTTCTTCTTAAAAATTTTGTTAACAAATCTTAGATGAGAACCCAGGTCATTATGTTTCTAGTTCAATAATATTCTTTTTTAAAAGAAATTTTATTATATTTTTTCAGCGAACAAAAATTTATTTTCTCTCCCTCTCTTCCTTCTCCTCCACCAACCTTCCTTCCTACTTTATTTATTTATTTATTTATTTACTTTTTGGCTAGGCAGTGGGGTTAAGTGACTTGCCCAGAGTCACACAGCTAGTAAGTGTTATGTGTCTGAGGCTGGGTTTAAACTGTCCTCTGAATCCAGGGTTGGTGCCACCTAGCTGCCCCCTTCTTTCCTACTTTAGAAAAGAAAACCCTTGTAACAAATGTTCATAGTCTGGAAAAATAAATTCCTGAATTGGCCATACTCAAAAAAATATGTCTCAATCTGTACTCTTTCTGTCAGAAGAGGTGGATAGCATGTCTTTCAAAATTGTTTGACTCGACAATGTTGTTATTGTATAAATTTTTCTCTTGGTTCTGCTCACCTCACTAGTTCATCCATCTTCTCAGGTTTCTCTGAAATTGTTCCTTTCATCATTTCTTAGGGCATAATATCTATATACACAATATCATACACTAGTTTGTTTAGCCATTCCTAAATTGATACACACCCCTACAGTTTCTACTTCTTTGCCATCAGAAAACAATCTGCATATAAATATTTTTATACATATGGCCTCCTTTCTTTTATCTCTTTGGGGTATAGACTTAGCTGCTAGCTATAAGGACTCATTTTTGCGTAAAAACTCATCATTTCTTTATTATATAAACTAGGATCCAGAAATAAATTTTTTTTTTATCAGAAACCACTAAAAATAAATCAGCTACTTCCCAAACATACCTTTTTTCTGTCTTAAGTGAGTAATGAAGAAAACTCTACATTTTTTGTCTTGTTTTTTGGCCAGGGTCATCTTCATCAGTTTCTAGTAATGTTTTCCAAATTCTTTCTGGCAGTATCATTTATCTTTATGTGAGATGCCAAAAATGGATGGTAATTGTTGAATTGTAAGTCCCTTGGAGTACAGCAAAGCTATTTACCAGGAATTGTACCTGTTCACTCTCCCCCTCCCAACTTGGAAAGTCCCTAATTTTCCCTCCAATTAGAAATCAGATGACCTAATGTTGTATTTTCCCTTTTAATTAATTATCCTTATTTGATTAATTGTTTTTAATCAATTTTAAAAGCCTGTCTCCCTCTGTATTCAGGGTCCAGCCCTTAGCTGAAGAAGAAACCTGGTCCCAATTTGTTAGGCAATTGGCATTGCTTAAAAAATCAAAATGCTCGACAGCTTGAACCTTTGTTTCCTCAGACATTTCATTTTTCACCTGCCACATGACAGGTATCATGGTTGGTATTTTTGCTACAAATAATGTGCTTGGGCGGAGAGAACCAATGAATAATTGATTATACCAAATTCAGCTGCCTCGGAGACCACCTTTCTGGTTTGGCAATCAACTGATTACTAGGGAGCTCAGAACATTAAGTGAATTTTATTTACAGATTTCTAGTTTTGCAAATAAAGAAAGCCATGGAGGAACTAGAACTTTTTGTCCTAGACTAAAACCCTCATAAACTAACCTCATTATCTCCAAGCAGACAAACGGACTTGAACCAGAGGGCTATGGCTTTTCTCTACCCAAGGTCAAGAAAGGAGGAGGTCATGCCCTGAGTTGGAAAGTCTAGAGATAGTCATAGAGAATCAATTCCACCCACTCCCCTAAAAAGAAGTGAGGTGAAAAGTGCTCATCATCTTTACTGTACCCTATAGAAACATCTATTGGGGCATCATTATCTCTGAACATGCTATAGCCTCTAGTAGAATGTATGCTCCTAGAGAGTAGAAAGTATCTTACTTTTGTATTTGTATCCTAAGTACCTCGAATAGTATATAGACTCAAAGGAATAATTATGTGGCTTTATAGGAGAGGTATCATCAAATAAGAATCAGAGGAAAAAAAATAATTACTAGTGATTGGTGATTCTCTGCTGTTTTGAGCCCCCTGGTAATCATTTGATTGCCAAACCAGAAAGGTGGTCTCCTAGGCAGTTGAGTTTGTTGTAATCAATTATTCATAGGTCTTTCCCTTCCCCCAAACACATTGTTTATAGCAAAAGTGCCAACCATGCTGCATTTTGTGTGGCAAGTGAAAAATGAAGTGTCCGAGGAAACAAAGGTTCAAGCTTTTGAGTATTTTTTGAGTAATTTGATTTATTGCCAATTGCCTAACAAATTGGGACCAGGTTTCTTCTTCAGCTAAGGGCTGGACCCTAAATACAGAAGGAGACAAACTTTTAAAATTGATTAAAAACAATTAATCAAATAAGGAGAATTAATCAAAAGGGAAAATAAAATATTAGGTAATCTGATTTCTAATTGGAGAAAATATTAAGGCCTTTCCAAATTGGGAGGGGGAGAGTGAACAGGTGCAGTTCCCTGAAATCAGAAAAAGAAATCTCCCAATCTTCACAGTGTTTATAAACCATCAAAGAAACATGGAAACGATTACTAATTGATCAGTATGGGGCCAGTTTTCAGATAACACATGAGTTGCTTAAGATTTACAGTCATGAGAAAATTCCTTGCAGATCTTTGGATCTTACTGAGCTTCTGGTCAGCATAACCATCCTAAGGTCCTTAGTTAAGGGTCTCCAATTAGCAGGTAAAGATGGTCCAGTTTCCCAACCATGCAGAGCTAGGTTCAAAAAATACAGCAAGGTTTTTTCCCAGTTTCCATAATTAAATAAGTTTTTCTCACAGGACAGAATTTGGACTAGACCTGTAATTCAATAGAAGGAGAGCTGAACTGGCTCGAGAATTGAGTCACAAGATAGTGTGGTTCACTCAATTCCCACAATTAACCACTTGCTATCCTAATCCCCTCAGTTCCCTCAGTTGCATGCAACAATGATACAGGAGGGAGAAACAGAGTAGAATAAATTCAGTGTCTTAGAGATTCCTCTGACTAGGTATAATTCATTTACTTCCTGCTTGATTCTCTCAGTAAACTGAGTGGTAAGTCAAGGAAGGGAAAATGCTTCAGCTGTTAAGAGGTTTAGAGTATCCTAAAAGGCATCCTTTATCTGCTGTTACTTCTAAATGCTCCTCCTAAATGTCACTTCCAAAATAAATCCAAGGAATTTTTTTTTTTTAGGTGGAGGGAACTTTAACCACTGGGGAGAGCCAGGGAAGTCCTCTTGAGGAATAGACATAGATTGTATGGTCTTTGGAGGAAACTGCAAAATTCTCCTTACTTTTTACTTCTGGAAGCATATTCTTATCCTCTTATTCAGAGGTTACCAAACTTATTTGGCCTACCACCCTCTTTTTGTAAAAAATTATTCAACACCCCCCTGGAAATCTACTTTCATTAACTCTTTAATTTTTTTTTTTTTTTGAAATTTGCATTATTTCCAAAAATATGTACAATATTTTTTGAAAAAAAAGACACATCTTAAATTTAATAATTTATTGTAAATTTGTGGGGTTTTTCCTGCATTGAAATTTTGATGACACAATATTGTGTGATTTAACCAATAGTATCATATTGTAAACAAGTCATTGCACACACACATATTCCTGCCAATGCATACTGGACTTCCTAACAACACGCGACACGCTCGCCTGCCAACACTTAACTTGTTAAGACCTGTCGGCGGACTTGATCACTGATCAGTTATATATAACTTGAATTTTGTATGTTTATTTGGAAAATAATATAATTACTATGACTTTAACTCTGTTACACAACAGATGAAACATGTATGAATGGTTTTTCAAAATTCTCTTCTTTCCTTATGCTTCCCTTGCCCTCTTATTTTTATTCAATGCCACCCAATTGCACCCAAGGCTACTACTGCCCCCCAGATCCTTCTAGCCCAATATCACCCACTTTGGGAATCTATGCTTTTATTGGTCGTACTCCATGGGATATAGTGCTATGTATAACAACTGCTTATTTGTTGTTGTTCTGTCGTTTTTCAATTGTGTCCAACTCTTTGTGAACCCATTTGGGTTTTTTGGGCAAAGCTACTGGAGTGGTTAGCCATTTCCTTCTCCAGTTCATTTTACAGATGACAAAATTGAGGCAAGCAGGATTAAGTGACTTACTCAGGGTCACACAGCTAGGAAGTGTTTGAGGCTAGATTTGAAGAGGGGAAGATGAGTCTTCCTGACTCCTGGCCTGGCACTCTATCCACTGTGTCACCATGTCACTTGTTTATAGAACTATAATACTCAGTATTACATTGCTAGGGTCTTTTTTTATGTAATTTTTCCTGGAATAAGGCTTTGATTATCAATTAGCATCCCTACCCAAGTTAATCCTTTTTCAATCTTTTTGAATCCTCCTGGCTTTCTTGTCAACAAATTTGATAAAGAGGTCATTTATACATCCATAAAAAGTGGTGATTAATGGAACAATGCCAACTTGGAGGTTTGTCTTCAATGGAATATCAGATTTTGTCCTTGAGTCGCTTCTGTTAAACTGTTTAATCAGTTATTTGAATGCTTTTCTTTTTTAAATATGTTTGTGAAACTGAGATTCTGTTTGAATTTTCTTATAATTTTTAAAAATTAGAGTTTGTAGACAGTAAAAGTTTTGTGCTAAATAGGGAAAATATGTAGTTTTTTACTTTGCTACACGTTTAGTGGTCACATATCACCTATTTGGCATGTGTTTAATTAAAATAACTCTTAATTACATGAATGTTTTAATATTTTCAGGGAGTACCAGTTGACTTCTTGTTTTTACATGATGCTAATTCAATAATATCCCTGGTGGAAAATAATGTACCTATCCAAAATAATGAGCCAGTTAAAGAATATGAAGAAGGTGAGATGGAGACTCTTAATCTAGGTAATGCTTGTCATTATTTTTTTCTATCATACTAAAATTTGCCTTGAATCCTATTTATTAATTTTCTGTTTTGAAATATATTCATATTTAGTCCAATGCACCACTTACAGAAATGTCCTTTGAAAAAGTAAGACTTTTAAAGTCAATAGTTATGAAATTACTATACTTTTCACCATAATATTGGTCAGTGACATCCAAACTCAGGATACGTGTTGATTGCCTTGTCCATAAATTTTCAAAAAAACTTAATTGGGCATCACTTCTTTTTGACCTCTGGCTTCTTCCATGGTCTAGAAACTTCTGCTTCTTTGTTGGTAAAGATTTCCACGTACTAGAATGCTCTAATATTTTAATCTTTCAAATAATAATATCTCATGTATATTATACATTGCTTTAAGGTTTACATAGAGCTTTTCATACATTATCTCAATTAATTCTCATTACAGCCCTTTGAAGTAGGTATTATTATCATCGCTCTTTTATTGGTAAGGAAACTGAAGCTTAGAGAGTTTAAGAGTGTTGCCCAGAGTCACACAGCTAGGAAATATCTGAGGTGGAATTTTAACTTGGGTCTTCCTGACTTCTGAGACTCAACCAAAATCATACCTGGATACCACATTGTAGCATGGATATGACCTTGAGGTCTTTTTTTTTTTTAATTAAATTTTATTTTATTTTCAGCTCTGCGTTCTTCTTCTCTCCCCTGCCTGCCCCCCCCCCCCTTCCTCCAACTGAGAAAGCAAGAAAAACAAAAACCCATTATAAACATCCATAGTCAAGCAAAATACATTTCTGCATTGGCCATGACTTAAAAAAGGTCTTAGTTTGTACTTTGAGTCCATTGCCTTTTTATTAGGTGGTAAGTAGCATATTTTATCATGAATACTCTGAAATAATGATTGGTCATTGCAATAGAGTTGCTAGGTCTTTCAAGATTGTTTGTCTTTATAAAAGATTGTTTGTCTTTATAATACAGCTTTTATTATATAAAGTGTTCTCCTGGTTCTGTTCACTTCATTCACATCCTTTATACAAATCTTCCCAGAGTTCTTTGAAACCATACCCTTCATTTCTAATAGCACAATAGTATTAGATCTGGTAGACAGAGTGCCTGAAGAATATGGACAGAGGTTTATAATATTGTGCAGGAGGCAGCAACAAAAAGCCTTCCAAAGAAAAAGAAGAGCAAGAAAGCAAAATGGCTCTCTGGTGAGGCTTTACAAATAGCTGAGGAGGGAAGAAAAATGACACCCCACAACTCCCCTCAAGATCCTGGATTTTCTCACATGAAATTCCTTCTTAGTATCCAGTGCTACTCCCATCTATCCCATTTCTTTTCAAAGGTATGCATATCCAGAGCCAAAATTCAGTCATAAATTTTGCCCCATCAAATCTTAATAACTATGAGGTCAAATTTGTGTTCTTGTTTTAGGACCTTTTATTATTTTATTAAGACTCTTATTTGTTACCTAAAATTTAGGCATTGTATATAGGTGTCTTAAGTCAGCGATTTTACTACTCTGTTCTTGGAATATTTTGTCCTTTGAACTGGTGAGTGTTTCAACTGCTTATTCTTTCTCATTGTGGCTACTTTTTATGGTGTCTAGTTTGTATTACGTAAGTTACTTTCTCCCTCCCTCAGTCTTTCAATTTGAAGCCCATTTGATTAATTGAAAGATACCTGCCAAACACATTCTTACCTGATTTTATTTGATGTACTCCATTCCTGGCCAGATGTCTCTCTTCCCTGTATTTTAAGACATGGTTCAGAAATCCAAATTGCATTTTCACATACCACCTTCTTACCTTGATATTCACTTTCCAATTCAATTTTTCTTTTTCATTCCTTGCCTTCACTAGACAACAGTATTTTGGGGAATGCTTTTTAGACACTTTATTTCTTTTGTCAGTGTCTTTTGTATTGACCTAAAATATCACAAGTGGGTGAGAGTCATCAGGTTTTTTTTTTTAAGTGATTATCTTGTACTAGGCCCCAGAGATAGAATGACAAAAAATAAACACACCCTGCCGTCCAACAGTTTACAGTCTAGTGTATAACATAAAAGAAAATGGGTATTAAAATATTTTTGGTATTTTTACATCACCATTATTTCCAAATATACTGATCTGACCCGAACCACTCACTTGGTTCATTCTTTCCTTGTGAAAAAGGAAAAACACAGCAAAACCAACCAACATGGCATCCAAATCTGATAGCGTATGCCACATTCTGCACCTGCAGACCCTGCACCTTTCCGAAGAAATGAGTGAGGTACATTTCCTCAACTCTTCTCTGAAGCCAAAATTGATCATTGGTTATACAGCACTGGCTTTGCTTTCGTTTGCTTTTCATTGACATTATTTTGGTCACTATACACATTTCCTCCCTGGTTCTGCTGATTCCATTCTGTCCATGCAAGTCTTCCTGTGTTTCGTTGGATTCCTCATAATTGTCATTTCTTACATTGCAACAATATTCCATCACATTCATTCTCACCAGTCTGTCCAGTTACTCCCCAATCCCTGGGTGACTGCCTCCTCCTGACATGCTGGTCTTAGAAGTGAAGACAAAAGACGTTTTGTTCCCTATTATCACTTCTAGACTGTCTCCCTGCCATCATTACTTAGCATCCTTTCCTCCGTTAAGCTTCATACTGTTGTTGCTTGTCCTTCATTCTTGAAGAGGACCATGACATCAGAAAGGTGATACCACAACAGGCAAATTAATTGGATTTAAGTGAGGCAGGGCTGTGCAGAGTCATCAGCCTCACTTCCTCCTTCGGAGCCATCTGGGTTCAGTGGTGAGATAAAGATCAGGATGATCAGGATGACTGGAGATAGCCCCATCGAGAATTATCAGTTTTGATAAATTTTGAAAGGTTCTCTGTTATATCTTAAAACATTAACCAGGAATACAGTAGACCTCAGAATTGTTATCAATTTGACAAATTGATGACTTGAGCAGAGAATCAGAGGCACTGGTTTTTTTTTTTTAATTAAATTTTAAGTTTTAAAATTTTATTAAGCATTTATTTTTTTCCTCTTTTCTCCTACTGGAAAAAAATAAAGAAAAACAAAATCCTTTTAACATATATGCACAGTCAAACAAAACAAATTTCCATATTGGCCATGTCCAAATGTGTTTGTCTAATTCTACATATTAGTCTATCACCTCTCTTTCAGGAAGATGGGTAGTATTCATCGTTAATTGTGGTTGATAATTACGTTGGTCAGAGTTCTCCAGTCTTTCAAAATCATTCATTTTTATAATGTTGTTATACTATACATTTTTCTGGTTCTGCTTAGTTCACTCTGCGTCACTTCACATTGGTGTCCCCAGATTTCTCTGATACTTTCTTTGATAATTAGTTTCTAGTTCTTTATTATTCCAAAATGAGCTATTATAAATATTTTATACATCTTTTCCCTCTTTCTTTGATTTCTTTGTGGTAGATATCTAAGTAGTATCACTACTTTTCATTTTTTCCTCAGGTTTTTATTAGATGACTTCTCACCTGATAATTTCTATGTCCAGGTCTTTATTATGTCATTATTTGGAGAACAACCAGCTGCTTCCTTTTCAAAGTACCCAATTCTCCCTTCTTCTGGAAGAGCCTCAAATCTCTTTTTAACACTAAGTATTCAACCAGTTCTGTCCATCTACTCTACCAATTTGCTTTAACCTCTTCTCTCAATTTGTGCTATTTACCTTCTTTATTTACTTTGCCCACTACTTTCTTCTTTTCCTTTTCCTTAAGTCTTTTTCCTTGAGTATTTCTTTCCATTTGTCCTTGACAATCCCTGAACCTGTTCTTCTTATAAAGTCAGAAATTGACTAGACTTAGAGATTGTTTTTTAAATATTTCCTCTGTTTCAGATTTATCCGTATTTCTCCTCCCCAAAAGTCTTTTTCTACTTCACAAGTCCAGAACACAGGATTTCCTTATTTTTCAACTCAATTCCTTTTCTTTCTTTACCCCCAAATTTTCTCTCACAGAAGCTGGGACAAAGATGTAAGGACCATGAGTACTGGGATCCTAGAGTTTCCAAAGAATTTAAGTTGAGGATTACTTAAGGAACAATAAAGAATGATATGGGGGCAGCTAGGTGGCGCAGTGGATAGAGCACTGGCCCTGAAGTCAAGAGGACCTGAGTTCAAATCTGGCCTCAGACCAAACATTTGACACTTACTAGCTGTGTGACCCTGGGCAAATCACTTAGCCCCAATTGCCTAAAAAAAAACAAAAAACAAAAAAAAAAATCATATGGTGGATGTGAGCAGACTACTGTATATTATACATGGAGAATTATGCAAAAGTAGTATAAAGGATGTCATCAGAGACCATAATAACTAGAAAAAATCATGGGCTAATAAAGCAACAAGTGAACTGCTCACATGCTCCACAGGCATCTATGCAGCATGAAGAGAATTTGAGAAAACCTCCATCACATTGAGTGGATCCCTGTGATGAATTCACAGGAGGACATCGCTGAGTACTACACAGGCTGGATAGGCTTGACTGTATTGTTAGAGGGAATACCCACTCTGATAAGACAACACATTCATAAGAGCCTTAATCTTTTGATATTGAATTAGAAAAATTCCATTTGTGCATACATGTAGAGTAAATGATTAAAGGTTTTGTACTGAAATGATTTCAACCTTACCTCAATCTTTTTTTTTTTTAACATGTGTTTTTACTTACCTCAATTTTATATAAGTGAGAAGCATAGTTAGCTGGTATGGAGGCTTACCTCCCTATGAAATATGAGTTTGCCAGTGGGTCACTTTTAGCAAGTTAACCTCTCTCTGTGGGATGAAATAAACACTGATTAGGGTGCCTGATGCTATTGCTTAAAACTGGTCGATTGGTTGTTGTCTTTCATTTTCAAGAGGACCAAATGACATCACTATGTAGGAGTCAAGTTGCAGTATATTCAATTGTAGCTGATCAGACCAATAGGAGCTCAGAAGGCTCTACCAAAGGTTGGGCACAAAT